GTTGCTTGGGGTCAAATCCGATGCCTGGCCGCTGACCAGCTGCATGTCCTTAATCCCCAGCCTCCGTTCCCTCCACCGTCAAACGGAGATGACAACACTGCCTGCCTCATCAGGTTGTTGTGTCGGAGACTGAACTGTGTGGATTCCAAGATATACATTTTGACGTCTCTGAAACCAGGTTGTGCCTGACAACTGGTGGTACACCACAGTGGAAACAGCCATGCCTTTTATTTCTTAAATATACATAAAGTAGTGATTCAGGTTAGAGTCAACAAAATATGATAAATAAGATCAGTTTTATAAGGGGCTTAGAACAGGGCCACCAGGCTGTTGGGAAGAAGGCAGGATTGCCACCTGCCTCCCCAGCTCAGTTGTGGTGGGTCCCTCACCGGGGCCTTTGTGTCCACTCTAAAACAATCAGCAAAAGAACACCTGCCTGCCGGAGCAGTTGTGAGAAGTCGGCAAACTTATGTGTGTATCACATGACCAGCAGAGTGCCCATATGCAGTAGGTGCTTAATAAATGGCCATGCAAAATAAACAACAAAGACCATAGTACAAGGAAGAATTTAAAGCACAGACTCTGGGATTCTAATTCTTAACTTCTCTGTGCCTTAGTCTCACCATCTGTAAAATGGGGATAACAAAAGTATCCAATTCATAGGATTATTGTGAGGATTAAGTAAAATTAAAGTGCTTAGGACAGCACTTGGCAGAAGTGTAAGCAATTATTATTTGATGAACTTCTAATGAGCCTCTTCTAGCTCAATAAATGATAGCTAAAATAAACACTAGGCTCAATAAAATAATAGCAATTGAAGCTGCACTTGCTTTATAGCTGAGAAAACCAAGGCCAAGATGCATGCTGGTTTGCCCAGAGTCACATAGCTGGCTCCCAGCAGACTGGAACCACAGCCCAGTGTCCAGACACCAGCCCAATGCTGCCTCTTTGCCCATGTTGGTTCAGGACTCTTTCTCTTATGGAGAAAGGAGTTTTTGCCATAGGAGGGAGGGTTTCTAGAAGAAGCCACCACCAGATGCATCACCAGTGCTTCAGAGATCCACAGAGTAATTAGGGCCCTCATTAGAAGTGGTTTCCATCTTCCCTCAATTTTCTGCCTGTCCACCACAAACAGTGGAAGGGGCCGAACTGGGATGCCCACCCTGCCCACAGCTGCCCAAGGTCAGCAGAGCCTGCCAACCATCCTGCCAGCCTACCAGCCAGCACTCTCCTGGCCTCCAAGTGGCTTCTGCAGAGTTGACACAGCAAAATTCCCTCCTGGAGACAGCAAAAGCCGTGGCTGGCCAGCTGGTCCAGCCACCAAACAGGCCAGGGCCACAAAGTAGATTGAAGTTGGGGAGAGGACAAAGACCTGGGTGTAGCCAGCCATGACAAACACTTCAAGTGACCTTGGACAACTCACAGTCTGTTTCTGAGCATCAGTTTCCCATCTTTGAAACAAGCCTTTTGGGGCCCGATGGGCCCCCTGAGACTTAAAATGTCTAAAATTCAAAGTTGCCTGGACATTGCTGATGTCCAGGTCATGGGGGAAGGGGCAGGGCTGGAGGGATGGAGCTACTGTCTGCGTGTAGAGTGCAATATGTATGGATCTTGGGTTGGACTCCCTGGGAGCAAGCATGAGACCGTGCTCAGGAGAAAGGGGCTGAAAGGAAGCAAGGTAGGGAGAGAAGGAGAGAAACAAGCATGTGGCCTCAGCTGATCCCATGGAGGATGTGAGGCACGAACTGCACCCCAGGGTTGGCTTTGCCTTGAGGCAAAAGAGCTGGCCTTTCATACCCCGTGTCAGATAGTTATTGGCCACGGCTGCCCTCTGAGCAGGATGCTGTGTGCAATTGCCAGGACAGGAGCTCCTGTTCTTCCCAGGGCAAGCCTGCAGAGAAGGGTCAGCCGGGAGCTCTAGCTCCCAGGAGCTGGGCTGTGGGATCTGCAGACTGGTAAGGAGGACTAGGGTGGGCACCAACAGTGTCCACTCTATTATGTGGATTTGGGATGCAAAGGTTGCTGGGTACCAGTCTCTTCCTAGCAACTATCTGAAGGCAGCAGATTAAGAGCTCTTTAGGCCACTTCTAAATTTATCAACTTATATGACTCACTTCAGATTAAAATGAAGCCCTTCTCTCCATCCCACCCCAGCCAATTTCAGATTTCTGAGCTCAGAGCATCCTGAAGAGGGTATAGAATGTAAATCAATAAAACCAATATTAGCTAAGTACTTGGTGTGGACCAGGCTGTTTGTCGGGCTCCTGGCTGAGCTCAGAGATGAATCAGCTCCAGAAACAACTCTCGCTGGGAGGCTGAGGCAGCCCCAGGTAGAAGGTGGGAGCCGACTGCTGGTGCCCAGCTTGGGAGCTAGGCCATGAATAACTTCCAGGACCGAGACTCAGTCTCACCACCAGTCTTTAGAGCTTCCAGAGCCTCAGTTTCCTTATCCTGAAAATGGGGCCAGTGTGGTGAAGAGTACATGGCCTGGGCCACTGCTGCACTCAGGGAGTGGCAATAAAGTAAAGCGAGACCAGGCACTGGAACCCAGGGCTGTTTCTAGACACTTCTCTGCCCTCTCAGAGGCCTGAGTCTGCCCCATGACCTCAGGGGAAGGAAATTCTGAGCTGAATGGAGACATCAGCTTCCCTGGCCCTGGGAACGTCTACAGTGGGCTTCACTACAGCCCCCCGGGTAACCTGTCATAACCAAGACAGCTCTCATTTAGCGAGCAATTTCCCTGCTAGGGGCTCCGCGTGCATAAGTTTCCTTTACCCTCACCACTGCGACTGGATCCATTTACAGACGAGCAGACGTGGTCTCAGAGATGTGGGATGGCTTGTCCAAGGCCTCTCGGCTAGCCCCTCTGCTCCTGCCCCTTTGCATTGGACCCAAAGGGAGACTGAGGCCGGAGTGGAGTTGACAAAGGCTGCAGAGCAGAGTCCAAAGCCCGGCACTCTGTCCATGGTATTAGCCCCTCCCCAAACTCTCCAGGAAAGAGGGATGGCTCGGGACCTCAAACTGGGAATAGGGTGATTCATACCTGGCCCATGTCCCAACACAACTGCCCATGGGGACAAGTTCAGGGTATCCTTGAGACTGACTCTTCAGCAGCAACAGGCCTGGCCCCCAGGAATTGACCGTGTCCTTGGTCTTTATCCTGCCTCCCTAAAAGACAGCAGGTGACTCTTGAAGGTTTGGAGCCACACTGGCTCCACATTTGGGGAAGAGGTGGTTTACATGTCTTAAGCACCTGCCAGCTACTATTGAGGAAACTGTGATTCAAATTCCAACTTTGCCACCGACAAGCTGTATCCCCCTTGGTGAGTTATTGTTCCTTTCTGAGCCTCAGGGTTTTGACGTCTGTCTTGGGGGAAAATGACCATAGCCATTGTGGAGATGATTTGAGGTATGTGCATAGCCCCCACCCAATGCCAAGGGTGATGATTATCACCCCGGGTAGCAACATGTGGGGCTGAAGTCCACTCTGTAAAGGAGTCATTCTTATTACACTGCACAGATCCTCAGAGAGGTCCAGGGACTTGTCCCCAGTCACACGGCAGGTTAGCAATAGAACATGCTGGTCAGTTAATGTCCGTTGAGGACTGTGTTGTGGTGTTCTTGAGGACTCAGAGGGCAGCCAAGGGCACTTCCCAAAGATTAAATCCCAGGATGCAGAATTATGGCATCTTAACTGGAGGAGAAGGCACAGGGCATTGGTTAAGAGCAGACCCTGGAGCTTGAGGGCCTGGGCTTGATTCCCCAACACTTCCTAGCTATGTGACCTTGAGCAAATGACTTAACTTCTTCATCTGTAAAATGGGCAAAAATACTAATACCAACCTCATGGGATTCTAGTACAGATTAAGTGAGTTACATGTAAGGAGCCTAGAACCATGCCTGATGCAAGGGAATCTCTACGAAAAATCAGCTGTCAGTGATAGCAGCAGTTGTGGGATCAGAGTTGGCGGGGCAAGGTCCCACCTTTCACCATCTTTCCCTTAATCTCACCCTAGCCTTCCCCATAGCCCCCATGGCCAGCAGGGGAAACTTCTCAGAATGTCCACTAGGCCTGTCACTCTGGTCAAAGTCTTCAGTGCTCCCCACTGCCGAGTGGATAAAGCCTAGACTCCTCGGTCTGTGTCCAATGCATTTGTGATGGAGTGCCTGTCCCTGCCCTACCTTCCCAGCCCCACACTTCACCTTCATGCCACTTTTCCTTTGTCAGGTCGGTTAGAAATTTGGCCATGTGATATGAACTGGAGCATAGGCTCTATTCACACTGACCCTTTTCCCTGCCTCTGAGCCTTTGCCTGACTTTCAACCCCTACCTAAGTGCCTCGCCGTTGTGAGGGCCTTCCTGCCCCTCCCTTTGTTGTAAGTTCCCGGGCAGCAGACCCTGGGCCTCTGGAGTCATGATCTCCAGTCAGTGTGTTTTGTTGGTTTTGTGTTTGTGTTTGTTTTCAGTGATTTCATTAGAACACTGTTGAGTGCATGCTTGTAGAATAGATGAAGGGAGGGGCCTTCCCTAATGGTCCCCCAGATCCTTTCTTGCCCTTTTAATTGTCTGTTCTTCTTGTGTGGCCAGAGATATCTTTTTTAAGAATATAAATCAGATTGTAGTGTCCCTACTTGAAACTCCACAGTCCTCCCCTTGATATATAGGAACAAGTCCAGACTCCTTTCTGCAGCCTGGAAGCCCTTCTGGGTCTGACCCCTCATCCCTCACCCCTCTCCTGGCTTTTCTCTCATTTACTGCCCTTCTTTCTGTGCCTCAAACTCATCAGCCTCTTTCCTGTCTCAGGGCCTTTGCACATGCTATTTCCCCATCTAGACTACACTTTCTCCTTCTGTTTATTTCGTAGATTCCTTCTCATCTAGCTGAATGGTAATTCCTCATTGAGGCCATCCCTGATCTATTTGAAAGAGCTCCCCCGACCTCCTCACCAATATTCCCTGTCACAGCACTTGTTTTTGAATAGCATGTACCACAGTTGGCATTATTTTCTGTATTTATTCTCTTGTTTGTTGTCTGTCTGTCTTCCCTAGACAATCAGTAGCTTGAGGGCAGGAAGCATATCTGTCTCATTCACTTTTGTATTCAAGGGCCTAGGACAGGGGAGGTGCTCAGCAGATTTTTGTGGAATGAATGAATGAACAAATGAATTGGCCAGATATGGAGAGGTGGTACTGGGGAGGGAAGAACAAACCCAGAACAGCCCTTCTCTCGAGGGAGGTAGTGGGAGCAGAGAAGGAGAGCCATCCTAGAAAATGTCCTTTGAAAGCCATCCTGGGTGACAGCCCCGGCCAAGTTCAAGTTCCATCTGCTCTCTTTTGCGCAGCTGTGAAAGGGACACCAGTGTCCTCCCTCACCATCACACTTGACCTGGTATCTGCAAGACAGGAAAGAAATGATAGTGAAGAGGTTGCCCAGAAATCCCCGCCTCGATTCGCCTGCCTTTCCTGAGCCTCTCTGGACCCCCCAGAGAGAGAAGGAAGAGGGGTGAGAGGGAGAGCATGGGCAAAGGGGTTGCAGTCGCAAATGAGACAGCTGCAATTCACAGTCTCCCATGGCATGCTTTCTAGCTGGGGAGAGGGCCAGTGCAGACAGAAGCTCATCTGGAACGAGTCTGACATCAGGTAGCAGCCATGGAGGGAGGCCTGAGAAAGAAGGCAAGGCTCTAGATTGGAGGTGGGGCTCAGTGAAACGGTCTCCAGGGAGGAAGAGCACTCAGCTGTCCCATTCTTTGGAAATCTGGGCTTTGTCGCATTGTTTGTGGCTGCACTGTGTACTTTCCAGCTTAAAGAGCCCTTAATGAGGGATTTGGGGACCAGGCCTTAATAAAAGGAAATTTCTGCTGATTAGACCCATGCAGGCCAAGCTCTGGAAAGAGGCTAGTGCTCCTTGCCTGGTGCTTACCTGCCCCACCCGCCGACAAGCCCCCAGCTTCTCCCCCAGCAGAGCACCCTGGAGAAGCCAGCAATTACTGTGTCCCCAACCCACGAGGTGGCCAGAAAAGAAACCAGGCAGCAACAGCTTGGAAAACCCTATTTTCCTTTTTTAAACTACAGTCATTTGAATTACAAAAATAATGCATGCTTGTCGCAACAAATGGAATGATACAGAAGGATCTATGGCAAAATGAATAATTTTCCTCTCCTCACATCCCACATTTACCTGATGTAACCACTGTCGATACCCTCTTTTGTCAATTCTGGGATGCACTTTTTTCCCCACATTTTAACATCTCTGAAATCAGGATATGTGTTGCAGTTGACAGCACGTCATAGTTTTATTGGAAGTCCTTTTTTCTTTCTTCATGGTATATAAAATCATGGCTTGACTTACAATTGGACTTAAATCTGAGGAAATCTGATAACTTGCTGTTTCTTTCTCTTGTTTGTTCTTTCATATACTGGCAGATATAAGTTTGGAGGGGGTTCATTTCTTTTTTAATGGTGTCATTTTATGTGTAGCCCATGACTTTATTTTGTCACTTAGCAATGTACCATGGTCATCCTGGTGGCTCAGCAGTCATGGAATGAGAAGTGGCAGAAGCTAGTGTAGATGACAAGGACCTTGTTGCTGCCAGCCCTACTGTTTGCCAGCTATGGGATACCCACTATGGGCCCCATTAAGGAATGAAAGAGCCAGGCCGGGCGTGTTGTCTCACACCTGTAATCCCAGCACTTTGGGAGGCCGAAGTGGGCAGATCACATGAGGTCAGGAATTCCATACCAGCCTGGCCAATATGGTGAAACCCCATCTCTACTGAAAATGCAAAAATTAGCCAAGCATGGTGGTGTGCACCTGTAATCCAAGCTACTTAGGAGGCTGAGGCAGGAGAACTGCTTGAACCTGGGAGGCAGAGGTTGCAGTGGGCCGAGATGGTGCCACTACACTCCAGCCTGGGTGACAAGAGTGAAACACTGTCTCAAAAAAAAAAAAACAAAGGAATGAAGGAGCCAGCACATGTGCAGTGCCCGGCACAGGCGGGCTCCTAGTGGATGCCCGGAGTCAGAGCTTCCCTGTGGAAGGTGTGCCACAGTAGGATGCATTTTTGCCCCCTCCCCAACCAAGCACCCCTGATACCCAGAGCAAGGGCACGGAGTCTGAGCTCAGATTAAAAGGTCAGATGCAAAAGGTCAGCTTTAAAAAGCTACACACAAACAAGGGCAGGAGGCAAAGTCAGAAAACAGGCTCAAAGGTTAGAAGAGAAAACAGCATAGCAAACAACACAAAGCTGAAAAGGTGCTTCCTTCACCCCCAAATCAAATAACAGATATTTTAAAATATCAACAAAGCAGATAGAGGCTTCTTACTAAGGAGAAAGTCACAAGAAGCCAAAGTGATCCGCCAGTCCCCCTGGCTCCACCCCTGCCAGGTGCAGGGGGCCCAGGGCAGCTACAGGCACCTACTGGATGCAGCCCCTGAGCTCCCAGTCTGTAGGATTTTCTGAATAAGAATGATGTGGATTGCTGGGTGCAGTGGCTCACACCTGTAATCCCAGCACTTTGGGAGGCTGAAGTGGGCGGATCACTTGAGGCCAGGAGTTCGAGACCAGCCAGACCTGACCAACCTGGCCAACTCTACTAAAAATACAAAAATTACCTAGGCATGGCAGCATGCAGCTCTAGTCCCAGCTACTCGGGAGGCTGAAGTACGAGAATTGCTTAAACACAGGAGGAGGAGGTTGCAGTGAGCCAAGATTTCACCACTGCACTCCAGCCTGGGCAACAGAGCGAGACTCCATCTCAGAAAAAAAAAAAAAAAAGAATGCCATGGACTGACATGTACTGTTTGTTCCAAGTGCTTTGCTGGACTTATTTGATTACAATATCCATCTAGCAGTTATTATTCCCATTTTACAGATAAGGAAATTGAGGGTCATTGATACACAGTTACCTGTCCATGGGCACTGAGCCAGCCGGCTTGACTTTGAGGACAAGGGCACTATGACTCAGAGCATGGGGTCTAGCAGAGAAACCAGTAATTGTAAGTCAGTGTAATAACAGCCAGGCTGGAGGAAGCCAGGGGGATGCAGGAGCCAAGGGGAAGCCCTGGCCTGTTGTTGGGGCTGTCAGGGGACAACCTCAAGAGGGTTCCATGAGGGCAAGTGGAAGGCTAGCTAAGAGCCAGCCAGCTGGAAAAACAGGGAGCCAGGGAAGGGTGCTCTAGGCAAAGGCACCGCTTGAGCAGTGAGGCCACTGAGGCCGCCACCAGCAGTGCAGAGCAGAAGGCACCAGGCCGGGGTGGCCAGCACATGGCAGGAGAGGTGGCCTGGTTAAGCCCAGGGCTGTAGGCTAAATGGTTGTAAACTGAGGAGTGATGTGGCCAGCTTGGCCCTTTAAGAGCATCCTGCAAGGACAATGATCCTAGTGAGGATAATGGGTTGGAGGGATGAGGCTGGAGGCTCACAGTGCAGCTAGGGTAGGGCAGAGGCTGAGGTGAAGGCAGGTTCCCAGAAGAGCAGGGCATGGGATGGGCTGACAGGGCTCTGGGACTGATAGGAGGCAGGGAGAGGGGAGGCACGGTGAATCACAGCAGACAGTGAGTCCCATCTGGTGGCATTCAGAAAGGGACAGAGATGGTGAGAAGGGAAGTAGTCAGGGGAAACCATGAATCCCATCCTGGGAAAGGGCCTGCAAATCCATTTAATGAGAGGCCAGGAGGGTTATGAACAGACACATTTGGGAACCGCTGGCAAAAGGCATATGCAAGTCCTCTGTAGAATGAAAGCAACCAACCTTACCTAAAGGGGCAGGGAGCATTCATTCATTTGGCAAATGCTAGCGAGGGGCCTACTGTGTGCCAGGCAGTGGGGATACCACACTGAACCCAACAGATCTGTTCACTGCCCTGTGGAGCTTGCATTCAAGCAGGTGGAGACAGACAATAAGTAAAGACGTAAGTGAGTGGATCGTCAAGGAGAAAAATAAGGCAGATGTAGGGAGATGAAGAGGGTTGTTTTGAATCAGGAGATCAGGGAAGACTTTCCTAAGAAGGTGGCCTTTCAGCAGAGACCTGAGGGAGCCTCATGGCTGTTTGGGGAGAGGATTCCGGACTAAGGAATGGCCAAGGCACTGACGTGGGAACATGCTCAGTGGGTTGGAGAAACAGCAAGGGAGAAGTGGGGTGGTGGAAAGTGAGGAGGCAGGGGTAGGAGATGAATTCAGAAAGCTGACAAGTTGGGGGCTAGGATCACACAGGGTCTCGTGGGCCATCGTAAGGACCCTGGCTTTTCCTCGAAGAACAATAGGAGCCATGGGAGCTTTGTGAGCAGAAGAGGGACTTGATTTGTGTCTGACTGTGTGTGGAAAACAGACTGTGGGGGTGAGATGAGAGGCAGGAGAGCAGGAAGGAGGCTACTGCAATGAGTGTGGTGAGAGAGGATGGTGGCTGGGACCAGGGAGGAGACTGGAGTTGGAGAAAGGGGTCACATTCAGGATAGCTTCAGAGGTAGAGCAGACAGGATTTGCAAGTAAGTAATGAGATAATTTTTGTTTTAGAATTGAAGAGTTGGGTTGACCCTAGAACCTAACACATTGTCTAGAACCTGGTAGAAGCTGGTAAGCACTCAGTAAATATGGAAGGAAGGAAGGAAGGAAGGAAGGAAGGAAGGAAGGAAGGAAGGAAGGAAGGAAGGAAGGAAGGATTTGTAGATGGATGGATAGATGGATGGATGAATGGATGGATGGATGAATGGATGGAGAGATGATTGGGTGGGTGGATGGGCAGATGGATGGATGGGTGGGTGGGTAGATGGGTTTGTGGGTGGGTGGATGGATGGATGGAGGCATGGATGAATGGATGGATGGATGGATGGATGGATGGATGGATGGACAGATTGATTTGTGAGTGGGTGGATGGATAGGTGGGTGGGTGGGTGGGTGGATGGATGGATGGATGGATGGATGGATGGATGGATGGATAGATGGATGGGTGGATGGTTTGGTGGAGGGGTGGAGAGATAGATAGATGAATGGGTGAGTAGACGGGTGGACAGAAGGATGGAGGGACAGAAGAATAAGTGGATGGATGGGCAGGAAGATATGTATATGGGTGAATGGAGGAATGGATGAATGGGTAGAAGCAAAAAGATAGTGAGGCAGAAAGAGAAAACAAGCAGGCTTCGATTGCCAGAATAAGTATAAAATTTTACTCAGAGGCAGTGGGAGCCATTGCAGGTTACTGTACAGGGACATGACAGGATGCAAGTACTGTTGGAGACACTTTCAGATCGTGGCTTTGGGTGGTGCCTGGTACCATGGCCCAAGCTCGTGACTCCCATGAACATTAATGGCCAACTCTCTCTGTTTCCTTTCCTGCTGTCTAACCTCCCACCCTCATTCATTTATTCATTAGCAAGTTTTCATTGAGTACTTACTCTGA